ATTTTCTTAAAAAAAATAACTGAAATCTGATTTGGGATTCTCCAGAATGCAGTGCTCTATACAATTGTGTAATTTTGTGCTCTTAAAAAATTCCCTGAATAGTCATTAAATCTTTGGAAACTAACTAGGCTCCAGGAGGATGCTATAGCTCTGGCTATTTTCCAGGATTTGCAGGAGGCCACGACAGCTTAACATGGTTTCTAAATGACTGCAAGACTAGGTCAAAAGCCTGCTGAAACCCAGTTGGCCTTCTTAATGATTCCATTCTTCTCTGAGGTCCAGAGTCAGCCTCTATAATCCAGTGGTGACACAGAGCCAAGGAGGAGAGGGAAAAATTGGCATAGAGTCCATAGATCTTCAGAATAAGGATGGATTATCAGTCAGTGTCACTTACAGTTATGTTATATCAACAAGTACCAAATTTGTTGAAGCACTAAAGTAAAGGATTTTTCTGAAAGGTATGAGTTTGGTAATAGTGTGGGGAGTAAAGTAACAAAATGCAGCAGAACAGACCAAATTATAGCCCGAGTATTGGAAAGTCAGAGATAATAAGATGCTCAGAATCATTATATTTGTCCTGAATACCACTCAGTACCTTACTGCTGAGGATAAGTATGTCATTTTTAGTAAGAACTGCTCTCCAGAGGAGGATTGCGAATTTGAGTGTGTGTGTATATGCATGCCTATGCAGCCTATCCATCTGCTTTTCTGTCCATTTCCTTCTTAGTTTTTCATTCTTTATTCAGTATCAAGGAAATCTGGCACAAAAGGAGAGGTCTTATGGACTATGAAATTCAACATAATTCATGAAAATGTTGTGTTCTTCCGCAGAAAGAGATCATGGAGGTATTCTTAGAAGGTGTCCCAGTTGAAGACAGGGTTGCAGCATGAGTCCCTGTGTGCAGAGGGGAAAAAAAGGGTCCGCAGAATGGGCAGGGTGCAAGGGAATCCTCAGGAGATCCAGCTGCAAGAAATCTCTGTACAATGCATTAGTTCCAGCACTTGCAAAGCTAGAACCTGTGTAGCACACTTGTGGATATTTCTGTTGTCTAAACTTAACTTACTAAAATTTGAGGAGCTGGCTGGGGAGAAGGGCACAGATCAGTGAACTGGATTAGCCATGTCTGCCAAGGTACACTGCCAGGCACACTGGATTGGTGAATTTTTCAAGAGCAAAATTTGTCTTTGCTCTGATAAAGCTAAAGCTAATTTTGGGTAGAAGACCACCCGCCTCACAGCTCTCCCCAGGCTGCAGCTCTGGCCCAGGCCTGCTCCCAGGGGCTTCTCCATGGGCTGTACCTCCCTCAGGCCATATCCACTGCTCCATCTCCTGGACTGCAGGGAACTTTGCACCTGGAGCACCTCCTCCTGCACTGCCCTCGGTGCCTGCACAGCTACTTCTCTTCCATTGCTCAACCCTCTTCTCCAGTTGCTGACATGCAGCAGTGTTTCTCTCACTTATCTCTGCTCCCTCAGAGCACACCCAGCTTTGCTCGTGACTCAGTTCTGGCAGCGTCGGGTCCCTGTTGGAGTAGCTGGAACTGCTCTGTTCACATGGGGCGCTGCTGGGCTCTGCTCACACAGACCCTCCTGGCAGTCCCCCCACTACATAAACCTAAACCAGAAATTTCTAGTTAAAGTAGGGATTGAAGCCTGAATGGCAGCAACTCTAATTCATTGCACCTGCTTTCTCAGATTATGAAAATAAAACAGGTGAGTTGTTTAGTTATAAAAGGGAAATTTCACTTCTACTGCATCATACTGTATCTATTAAGTCTATCAAACAACAATTGATTGTAGAGGCCCGCTTTTAATGGGTTTGTTCCAGTCTATTAGCAGTAGATATTATTCATGACTTTGTGATGGGTCAAATATTCTAAAACATAAATGATAAGAGGGAGTGGAGGAGTGGAGAGACTCATTAAAGTTGCCTCATTTTCTTAAGTTTTTATTTAAATGGATGTATAATTTTGTCTATGAGCCAGGAGTGGCTCTTAGGGTTAGATCTGAAGTTTGTATAGATATGAAATTTGAAAAGATCTACATTAAACAAGTCTTCTGTATTTGCCAAAATGTGTTTGAGAGGTCTGGAGCATGAGTTTGGAAGGCTCTGATCTCAAAGGACAGAGTACACTTATTTTGTTGTCTTGATGAAAATCTAAGATTAAAGGCATGTCTCCAGAAAGAGAATAGCTCTATGGCTTCTCTGCAGTGATAAGGTGGGCACATCCACAAGTCCTGTATAAAACACAGAATTGAAGTCTAATTTTTTATATACAAATACAATAGTACAAACTATGAGTTTGTAGTATGAAATTGTAGGGATTTAACACTGTTAAATTGGGCACTGCCATAAAGAAGATAGCTAAGAAATGTGATTTTCCAAAAAGGACAAAAAGCTCAGATCAGAGGCAGCCAGGCAAAAGAAGGCAAAAAGGGTAATCTCTAATCACTAATGCAGAAGCTAATCACACAGTATAAGCATAGTTAGTAACACAGGAGAGCTATGGGATCTACCCATAGGTTGTAAGGCCTCCCAGCCAGACTGCAAGGGAAACTTAGCTGTGAGCAGCCTGATAACGGCTGTAGATAGCCAAATGGACCCTTTTAAGAGACTCTTAAAGCTGTTTGGGAAATCTTACAAATATTGACTTTGTGTACTGTTGCTTGTATCAGATAGTCTATAAGGACTTTTTTCTCATCTTCTTCTACCTTAACAAAATGGGTAACTGGTAGACCAGTGAAGGCCTGTTTAAGGCCAGGCAACCATTTTAAATTGTGAACTACCAATTTCATTCAATTTTTGTGCTTTGGATCACCGTTATTTTTCTTTGTGATGATGTTAATTTTTGTTTGTGGTTCCAGGGCTTGATTTCAGCTGGTGAACTTGAGATTATTCTGTTTTGACTTTTCACAAAGCATCTGTTCTAGCAGTTATTTTTCCTGTACATTATAATTCAGCATTGTACATTTGTAGCACTGTAACTGGAGTCAGTAAAAGTAAACACTATGTCTAGGAACTCTGAATCAGTTTTTCAGTCATGTTCACAGCCCACTCTCCACTCTTGTCCTACCAAAAGAATGCACATTGGAATGGAAGTTCATGTCATTCCTTAAAGAATTTGATTCAGTTTCTCCTCCTTCTACTGCGAAGAATGTGAATTACTAAGTTTGTTACCATTTTTTTTTCATTTCTTCCTTCTGTATATGTCTTTCTAAAAAACACCAGAGTATTCCACTCTAAACATTATGTGTCTTTTGCTGTTCATATTCATTCCTATGTATAAAAATGTTAAAATAAATTGTCTTCCGGGTGGGTATTTTTAACCCCTTAATACAATCAGATGTGGGAATGGTGTGTATGAACGCAAGCACTTTGCTGGATTACTAGTGTTGTTCACTATTGACTGATTCCAATTTCAGAGCAAGGAGATTCTTTCAGAGCAAGGTGTAATCTTGTCTTGTCATTCATAGCAAGGCATATGGCATCACTATAGTGGGTATGTCAGCAGTTTCTGTCCCTAAATTAGAATGTAAAACATTCTACCTCTGGGCAGTTTGTGTTACTCTAACACTGCTGAGTCTTTCTTGCAGCTGTGTAAAGGATTGAACTTTCCAAATTGTGTATTTCAGACATTGAGAAAGAAAGGACTTAATGGCTGTGACAGTCCAGATCCCGATGCAGACGATTCAGTAGGTCACAGCCCTGAGTCTGAGGACAAGTACAGGAAAATTAATGAAGATATTGATCTAATGATCAGCAGACAAAGATTGTGTGTAAGTACTCTGAGTTCCTTTTCATTTTTTTTACCTTTTGATATTTCTCTGAACCTGGCAGGCATTGAACAAGAAAGAAAACAAAGGTTGTGAAAGCCCCGATCCTGACTCCTCTTACGCTCTCACCCCACGCACTGAAGAAAAATACAAAAAAATTAATGAAGAATTTGATAATATGATCAAGAGCCATAAAATACCTGTAAGTACCAAAGGTTAGATGGCTGTCTGCTGATAACCGCTGCAGTAACAAACCATAACCCTTTCAGTTCTGGCTTCTTAAAGAAAATATTTCAGCTGGAAACAGGCTTTAGTAGCCAACATGTAATTAAACACTATGGTCAGGAAATTACACACAACGTACTTTTCTTCCAAGTCTCTACCTCTGACGTAGACAAAGCCTATAGGTGAAACCTGCAGAAGGAAGTGAAATATACATATATGCATTATATTCACTTGGTTTACAGAACTGTTTTACCACACTACTTGCACAAATTATACCTAAAATGTAACAATGGAAATATTTCTTTGTGGACAGGCTAACAAACCCACAGAATACTTTCTGTGGTGATATAGAAAAAAAATGATGTAGAACTGAAATTCCTTTATACATAGTAATTAGTACATTCTGTGCGTGTAACTTCAGTTCTCAAACGTCCCTGCCAAACTCAGTTGCAGCACTGAAGGGTTACAGCTATTTGCTCGCTGCAGAAAAACAGACTGCATGAGAGCCTAATGGTAGGATTCAGACATGTTTGTGTGTTGGGGTGATTTTACAGCTTTGTCAGAGAATTTGCTTTTACCTCATCAGCATTTACTTAATGCTTTAACATGAGCTAAATTTTGTTTTAACCAAGTCAAAATTTCTAACCTTCAGTCATATGCCTTGCCAGATATCTAAGAGAAATAACTCCGCATGTGCTATTTTGTTTGCACAAGACATATAGAGGAAAAACATTTGTGATTATGTTTAATAGAAGATTTATAAAACTGACAAAAAAATGTGGAGGCTGTGAAAGTTATATTTGGCCCTCCTGTGTGGAAGAAGGATTAGCAATCCAAAGAATTACCTTGGTCCAAAAGGCATCTGAATTTACATTGTTAACTGCTTTCTTCTAGAAAAGATTATTTGGGTGTGTTCAGCGTTTATTCTCACGTGAAAGTTGTATGGTTAACTCACAGAGAGGGTGTCTTCTCACCCAAAATGACGAAGTCATACCCATAATGCTGCTCAATTGTGCATACAAAATGTGATACTTAAGCTGAAGATGCATCTTAGGGATGTTCTGATTCTATTTCACGCAGCGTACATTTTTTTTCCATTAATTCTCAACATAAAAATTTTCACCTGAGCTAACTAGAATCTGGAGAAGTTCTCACATCATGGCAAATACAGTTCTGGAAAAAAAATGAATAAATAAATAAATAATAAAGATTTTTCATGGAGGCCAGAACGGCACCAGATGTGACAACTGAGCATTTGGAATGACTGGCTAAGAAATCCCAACATGTACATGAAATATCAGGGAGATATAAATATACATTCAATCTTTCTTGCCTCGCTTTTTATTTGCTACACTCCTATAGGTATTTTTCTCCACAAAAGACTTGTCATAGCTGTCACCATGAGTTTGATTTCTCAGGATGGAACTCAGTTTGACAAACAGTGATTGCAAGATTTAGATTGACTGTTATAAGCTTATATGCTTCACCCTTTTTCACATCAAAATCTTGGCAATCATCATTTCTTTCCTTTTTCAAGGATGACCTATGCTTTTTCAAATCAAAGTGACAACATTTTCAATCAGATAGGATACAACCAAGTTACCTTTCAAACTTTGAATACGTTTTGAGATGGTTCTTGAGATATTCTGTTTCTCTCATGCATTTTCTCTTTTCTTGAGACAATGCAATGAATATTACGACTATTAAAATCTAAGCTGTGAAAAAGAGCACCTCCTAAGAAAACTCCCTTCTAGCTGATGGTGAGTTCTATCACCATCCTTATGTATTTGGGAAAATCACCTTTTCTAGAAAACTGAGAAAGTTCAATGAATTAGAAGCAACACAGTTAATCAAAATACATTGTATACATCACATTGACTGTCCCCCAAAGATAATGAAATATCTCTGTAGCTCTTTTCATTAAATCTAACCATTTGATGTCAAATAAAATCCTGGCTTGACTCTTAACTTGCTGATTGCATGGGTTTCCCAGGCTGGATTTTGAATATAGTTTATCTTCCTACCTTACTGGGATGAAACAACATGCAATTCTTTATTTTTTTCATGAAATTGATTCAGAAATGCTTTAGAGATACAGAAATGAAAAATGCTAGTATTTCTTTTCTATAAGACAGAACATCCCTTCCCTGGATACCTCGCACATACCTCAAGGCCTGTGTGCTCCATCAAACTGCTTACCACAAGAAGAACCAGTAGGCAATGTCCCTAATGCAAAAGGACCTCCTTTTCTTAGCATTAATTGAGATCCAGTGGGCAGGATGGAGTTCAAAGTTTGAAATTCAAGTTCAAAGACTGAAATTTGCATTTAAAGGACACCAACTTTAGCTGTACAATTCAGTATAACTTCAGGAAAGTCAGAAAAGTTAGATTCATTTACTTGTGATTATTAAAAGTGACCAAGAAAGTTGGGGGAAAGAAAGCAAAACTGAATGAAAAGCCAATAAGTCATGTCATTAAATCATTATTTACAAAATATATAGAACAATGCAGTGCCTCTGCCTGGTCTTGTAAGAAACCAAAGCTGTTGCCAAATGAAAATAAAATTGGCTTTCCCTCCTAACAGCAAAGGCCAATAATGTTTCCTCAGATAATTTTCTGGGTAAAAGCATTTATATTGTTCTAAAACATCTGATAATAATTACACACTTATTTGTAGTTTTCATGAGTGATGATAGCAGAGGAGACAGAAATAGTCCACTAGAAGGGGGCTGTAAATGTCTGCCTCTAAATAAATGGAAGCCCGGTTGAACATGGGAGGAGGAAAAGACATTATTTAGCACAGAATATTTGGCCCATTAATTTTCGAGGGTTATGAGTATCCAACATTTTGCTTTGCCCAACACACTTCAGCTTGTGGAGTTCACATCTAACATAGTGCAGGCAGGCACTTCCCTTTCAAGTGAGCAGTCTGCTCTCTTTAGCAATTTTGTTCAAAGGAGAAAAGACAGTGGAAAAAAAGAGGCAGGATGTGACAAGCTGCATACATGTTAAGGGCAAAGCCATGCCTGTGTTAGTAAATGAACAACAAAGAGCACTCTAAGACACTTATCTCTGCCTCAGAGTGGATTGTTTGACAGTTCCTGGCATTCTTCTGGCACAGGCCAAATATTGCTCTTCCAGACTGATTCTTAGCTCTATTTGGTAGTTAGCCCAGGCCAGGAACAATTCCCAATTGTCAGTTTGTATGTAGCCATGATGTTTTTGAGGTTGAGAAAGTTTAATAATATGGACGTGTACTGCCCTGTGGCCTCAGATGGCCTTAGTTCCTAGGCATATTTAATTTACTAATATAGATATTACGCAAGTGCATCATAAGCTTTAATATCCATCAGGCCTCACTGGAATAGATATGCCCTGTGACTTACCAAGAATGACTAGGGAATCTGTAATAGGATGCAGTTCTTGGAGGACATACGAGACTATAACAAAATTTGAGAAACTAGAGGAAAACTGTAACTAGACACTACTTAAAACTTGTGCTTATCCAGACAGATTTTCTTCACTAACCTTTGGCTACCAGTAAGAAAAAAAAGTTACCATAGCATAGAATATTGTATGTTGCACTGTGAAGAATAGAGCTAACTGACCTTGCACTGATAGAATTGTTTTTTTTTTTTTTTTAATTTAGCTAGTTTAAAAAAATGTTTTCAAAATGACAAAAGGAAAGCTAAGTAACTCTTTCCAAAATGTTTGTATGACTAAGTGATGACTAGTGATAGTGGCAGCCACAAGAGAAACCAAGTCCAGGACTGTTTTGCTCTATACCAGTGCAGAAAACTGAAGATTCCAAATTTTGAACTGTTTTAGACACTGAAGAGAGAGAATAAATATGCAAGCAGATGAGCCTGATGAGAAACTGAGAGTCTTGAGATTTGCATTTGTTGAAGGGTTTTACTTGGCATAGATGGACATATGTCAAGATAAGGAAAACAAGTTAGGAAAATAGAGGCAATAGCTATCTACCTAGGCTCAGAGGGAAGATTTCACAGATCTCCTGACAGCAATGAAGAGTACAGAGCAAAGTGATCCCCAGTGAGTGGTACTTAATATAGCATAGGATGGCACTCAAGCAGCTAAGAATTGTTTAAAGCCTTCGGAACTGGAAGCAGGATTATGTCCTCAAAGCAGCCAGGCAGAGAGATCACCACAGCAGTGAATGTTACAGGAGGCTCCATGTGGTCTTATTCATGTCTCACATCGGACTGGATGTGAAGATGTCCATTTTTGTGTGGATTCAATTGTTAAATCTGTTTGAAAAGGCAGAAAACAGCAGCAGCAGCTAACTTTGAGCTCCAGAACCAACTCTAACTGAGCAGCCCAAGTTTCTGCTCTTTTTTACGTGAAATTTGGGAACTTACCGGATCCATTTCTAGCTATTGAAGATAATGTTTTGCTTCAAAAATAAGAGACCAGTAGGACATTTAAGATTATGCAAAGCCAGTCTGTTTTCTAGAGAGCCTAAAATCATTATAATGACATAAACTGACACCCCTTGAGCAATGTGCTTTGTAAATTTTCCTTTGAAATACAAGCCAGACATGCAGCCAAAGAGCAGAACATCAACAAAAAGATGTATGCAGGCAAGAAGGTTGCTCCTAAAAGAAATGAAGAACAATGTAATTACTGGGAACAGTAATTACATTTTTGAATATGTAGTCATTTTTTTCTCCTTTTCCTATTCAAGAGTAATAAACAGTAGGTTTCAGGATCTCCACGTAGACCTACCAGCAGGTATAGTTTTACATGTAATGAGTGAGATTTTTATTCTACTTATCTTTCCCTGCCCTCTCTACTTAAATCCATCAGCTTTTCCAAAATATGGCCATTGAGGTGCACCTCAGCTTCTTGTACAAAGAGAAGGAATTTGTCTGAGGAGTCGTGTTGGCAAGTCTTTCCACCCAGGTGCCCTAACAGATCTTGGCCATTATGGAAAAGAGAAGCTGTCTCACAAAACCAGGCCACAGGCCACAAATTGGGTTTCAAAGCTAAATTAACACCTTGAAATAAGTCCCAGAGCATTTGTGTAACGTATCCTTCACATAATGCTCTGTACTAAAATCTTTCTGTGTGTTTCTGTGGTTAAGCAAAATGATTGTTATATATTTAGAGCAAATTATATCTGCCCCCAGAAGGAGGTGGGTGGGTGCAAAAAGAAAACAGCAACAACAAAAAATACAAGTGCAAGGATAAAATTAATCTGATGGCCAGTGCTGTAATGCTCAGGGCACAGTCAACAGATTTGACCAACCAGAGAAGATACATGTGGGTGGCACAAGATCAAGTTATCTCTGCTGCCTAACACGGCAGGTTATATGTCCAGTTCTCAACATTCTCTCACCAGATCCTTGAAGATTTATCAGTACTATCAGCTGCCAGCAATAAAATTAAGATCTGTGAATTCCTCTCTCTGAAGATGTTACAAGCCTGGCTTAAAACAGTCTTGAAGAATTAAGACTATTAAGTAACACAAGATTTTCAAATGGCAAATTAAAGAGTAGTTTGTTTGCATGAAGGTATTTTAACATTTAAAATGCTGCCAAGTAACCCTAAGAAAACTCTCCTTTTTTTTAAAAAAAAAAAAGTTAATTACAGAAAACAAAACAAAACCAGGTAAATTAAACATGGAGTCCTAGTGTATTTGAGTGATACCAGAATCAAAGATTTTAAAGAAATTCAGGCAAAACTCACCCAAGAAAACTCCAATCAACAAATCAACGAAGAGGGCCCAAGATTGGCTTTCTGAGAGCATTATGAAAACCACATACTTTATCTCCTCACACCCTCTATCAGACATAGAATTGGAGTAGACCACAAGCTTGCTCATTTTTGAAAAGGATTCTTCATAGAGAAAAGACTTTAGAGAGGCTGCTGCCTTCAAAAGTGACAACAGTGTTTTGGAAAGACTTCACCAAACACACACAGACATGCATGCAAAGATAAAACAAAAATAATCCAAATAATTCTATATTTCTTAAGTTCTTGTATTTGACACCTGTGCCTAAGTAGAACTTGGTTTATTTTAAGCCCTTCCTAAGCTCAGATATAAGCACAAAAACACATCATTTACTGTGTTAGTAGCTTTAATATGATTCGAGATCTTTCTGATTGCTTAAGCAACATAAGATTTAATTAAGGCTTTCCCTTTTGCATTCCACCTCTTCTAATTTTTCTCCATGCAATGAAGTCATCATAATCATCCACCTTTGATCTTGCAGTCATCTGTGACACTAGATTAAGATATCACAAGTGAACAATAACAACTTCACTGAATTAAAGAAAATGAAATTCATAAGTCAGTGTTCTATTATTTTTTTAAAAAAGAAGAGGAAAAAGGAAAAAGGACAAAAAAGAAAAAGAAGGAGAAGAAGAAGGACAAAAAGGAAGAGGAAAAAAAACCTAGAAAATCTTCTTACAAAGCAGTCATGCAAGCTGCATTAAAGGATGGAATTGTGATTTGAAAAATCACAAAATCACATTTAAAAGCCTTGGTAATTCTTTGAAACTCTTCTCTTGACTGTTAGTTGGGGGGAGCTTGAATATTTTAACCACCAACTACAAAATATTTGAACTAAATATAGAGTAACTGTATTCGAAGGCTGTTGTGCTTCTGTACTATTCTTGTCTTTGTTTCCCCTTTTACTTGAACAGGCTGTTCCACCACCAAACTTTGAGATGCCAGTTTCTATCCCAGTGTCCAACCACAGCAGCCTGGTATACAGTAATCCAGTCAGCTCACTGGGAAACCCCAATCTTTTGCCACTGGCCCATCCTTCTTTGCAAAGAAATAGCATGTCTCCTGGCGTGACACATCGGCCTCCGAGTGCAGGTAACACAGGTAGGCTCCATTCAGTCCTGTCTTATTAAATTCTCTTCTATTGGCTGCCTGTGCACTTTAGGTCACTTTAAACTGTACTCTTAGAAACAAGAACTCTCTTTTTAGTAGTCCTAACGGTTTGTCCAAAATTGCTGTGTTGAAGAATCAGAAGAACCAAATTGGTTTCTATTCCCAATTTAGAAAACAAACAAACAAAAACGTTCTAAAAAGAGCTGAATATCGACTGAGATTAAGGGAAATCAATAAAAGATTAAAGGGGAGACGATCTGCTGTTTCATAAAAAGGCAGCTTGTCTACTTAATTCATGCAGTAAGTCTCTACACCATAAAAACTTAAGGGGGCAGGGGAGAATGCATGGCCAATGCAAACAAGTTGAAGCAAGAAACTTAAATTGCAAGTTTGGAGGCTATACACAGAATTTATTACTATTACATGTTCCTTGACGGTAAATGTTGTTTGTCTGTTTTGTATAGCAAGAAGCTATGCTCCAGTCTGGTGACAATGAGGGCTCATCTCTAAACAGGATAACGGGGGATTAAGTTAATTCAGTGTGCCTGACTGGAGCAACATCAACATCCTTAAGAATACTGGGTTCAAAGAATCATTTGAGGTCTCCAAGTTCAAAGGGAAATTTGTGAAATCCTTGGAGTGAATTTCAATGAAAAGCTGCAGAAATTAAAATAAAAAGCTATGTAAATATATCTGATAGGATCTGAGCTAAACTCTATTTTCTGACTCTGGGTATGATCTGATGCCCTCTGAAGTCAGAGATACAGAGAGAGAAACAGTAGTGCATATGGGAGCAGGTCATTTGAAGTCAGAGAACATTTTGAATGTTTGCCTATTATAGTTTACTGTACTCACTTGTAGTATTTCAACCCTCTAGGTGGCCTGATGGGTGGGGACCTCACTACCGGTGCAGGCACCAGTGCAGGTAAAGAGAAAAGAACTTGTATTTATTTTTCTAATTGAAGAAAGGAATTCCTCCAAAGGCTAAATCCTAAAATATCTTCCATATTGGAGATTGGATATTGGTTTATTTTCCCCAGCTGGTTGATAATTGTGCTTTAAAAAGTTTGTTTTCTTCAGTGTTGAAAATCTTGTAGTTCAGCAAATTCCATGGATACAAGTGTCTATCTTTCTTCGCAAGAGCCTTTCCATAGAAGCTTATAGGTTCTCTGCACTGGCTGATCAGGTGAGATTCCCACTGAGGCCAGTGTCTGAAACTTTGACCGTTTATAAGTCACAGAGAGTTTTGTCTTTGACTTAGTGGAACTGAGTAAAGATTTCACTATTGAATTTCTCATTAAACTTTCATCTACTGGGCACAGATTTGACTTCAAGCCCAGGTTTAAGACCATTTCTGGTCACTGAAATCTGTTAGCGTTCTCTTAAATAATCAAAAACGAACAACTTAGTTTTACATTTGTGCTTAAGTGCTTTCGGACATGGCAGGGAAAAGGATTTCCCAAATAATCACGCAGAGGGAAAGATAAGCCCCTCTAATTCTGTTCCCATGAAACTAATGAAAACTGTAAGGACTGTTAAGGTTGGAGTAATCAAAGCAGTTGTCACAGTCCTATTTGCTGAGTAAACTCAGTAGTTTGTTCACAATGTCAATGATGTTGCATTATTACAAATATAGATTACAAAAGACAATGGCAAGGTTTCCATTTCAATTTTAGAAGCAAACACATATGTTTAAAGAAAATAAGTGGAGTTTTTACATGGAGCATATTGCATGTTACTGAGTTAACTGCTTTCATAACAGTAGGGAAAAATAGTTGAAAGATCCTTTTTGTGCACTGTAAACCAAGGCCAATATATCTGCTGATTCTAACACTCTATCATAAAATGACTTATATAGAAATTCTGGATATAGCAATCTTCTTTTTTCTTGGCTCTTCTCATCCTGTTTTAGACCACCCCCTTTTATCTTCACACATAGATGAGTAACAGATGTTTGTGTGATGCATCTGTAGTAAAATGGAAACTGCACTGTATCAAAAGACTGCTTTAAACACATGCTGATGCTTTGAGAGGTCATTTTGTATTAATTTAACAGTAGGATAAGCAAACCACAGGAACTTAGGTGTTAGTATCCTTTGTCAACAAAAAAAGAAAATACAGTAAGCATGATAGTTTTGTTAATTATCTTTTGTGTGAAAAAGGTAAAGAAGTATTTGTTCTGGTAATGCTCTTATTTTGTCTGGTTTTGTTTTGTTCTTTTTTATCTCACGTATAGTAGGAACTTCAAGAGCAGAGGAAGTCAGATAATAATTTGATTGCCCTATTAAGGGGCTCCCTCTACTGTTTTGTTAAGAAATATCATTGTCTCATTCTTGGTTTCTCTGTTTCTTTAAAAAAAATGTTGGAAAGCAATTAGCAAAAGCAATGTCTTCTTCTAAAAGAGGCACGTACTAAAATAAAAGCTCATCAACACATGCATTTGGTGAAATAATCTTCGTGCTTAATAAAATCTGTACATCAACATGCTAGCTTAAAATGTTTTTTCTTTTTAAATACATTATTTTCTTGAAAATATATTAAAAGCATATATAAGCATAGTAAGAGGGATTGCTTATTTACTCACTAACTCAAAATTTGCATCTCCTGCATGAAATGATATGCACTGAGCTCTCAAGCAATCTAACTCAGGAGTAGGCATTTGATTTGAGGGGCATATATATGGAAAGCATTGCTGGGAATGCATTCTAAATATTTAATTGTATGAATAGTCTTTGCTCTTTAACTGGCAATAAGACTTTAAACACCATTAAAGAAGCATTTTCTAGATCTCTTAAATGCAGAATAGTAGGAAGAATTTGATACAGAGCTGAAGGAAGATGAAAGGTCACTATAAGGTCAAATCCTCTGTCTTAGTTGCCTTATTCCACAATGGCACTATTTTGGACAGCCCTTTCTCTTAAGGGGACAGAAGAATGAACATCAAAAGTTCTCTTTGTTCATCATTCTTCATAAGAAACAGAGACCTCTGTGTTTTATTCTAATTGGCATCTTAGAAGCTGGTAGCATGCACATTATAAATTTGCATTTTTCTGCAGTGTCCAAAAATAGCATGTATTCAAAATAACATACTCCATGAAGAGGAGTCTATATAGTTTCATTTCTGTCACTACAAAATTAAACTACTTTTGATTGCTAACACTAGGCCTCAGTTTCTGCACTACCTTTACAAGTCACATTATAACAAATTATAACTGCAGCATCACAGATGGTAAAAGATTAGCTGAGCCTGTGTTTTGAAAACTATTATTGTGATGGGTTTGATTATTTTAAGTAATAACTCTGAAATAATTTACCATTTACCTTGGGACTTAACCCAAGACATAAACAGAATATAGGAAAACTGACTGTTTCTTTATTACCCTGCTCAACTAAATACTAGCAGTGGTATATTTAACTTAAACAAAGGTTATCTCAGGTTTGTTAAAGCAAGTTTCCTCTAAGCCAAGACCTGATTGAATCATTTCTATCATGTGATAGTAGCAACTGCCAAAAAATTGGAGTGAACTTCACATTTAGTGTATTTGCTTAATTACAGCAAAGTCAAACCAGAGGCTTTTGACTGAAAGAGCAAGAACTTTTTGGACTCAGATCAGTTTTCTGGGTCACAGTTACATTCTGGAGTCACATCCATCAGTTTTTTGCCGTAACTAACATGAAAATAAGAAGTGGCATGTTACCAGTTTACTTAATAGACTGTGAAGTTCTTCTTAATTTTGGGGAGCAGATTTAGTCATTAACAAAATCAGCTAGGTCAATAGTAACTTGACCAGAAATAAACAAGAACTATAAAGTTGAAGTTTTAGCTCTGCAAATAGTCTGTACTCAAGTTTTATACAGTGATTCAATATTTACCTAGAGTACCTGATAAAAGATTTAAACTTCAAAAGTATTCAACAGTTTTAAAATCAAAATAGATCTGTGTTGGGGGAAGTCTTTTTTTCTTTCTGTGTTTTAAGCTTTTGGTCTTTAAACTCACTCTATTTCAGATGAAGATATACTTTTTTTAATACGGTTTTCAGGTTATGACATTTTTTATCTTATAATTAAGTTTTTTTCTGAACGGAATAAGTCTGGTTAGGTCAGCAAAATTTATTTAAATTTTAAATCACTATAAATAATAAAATCAAAGTAAAAAAAAAACAATATAAAGTTTTAAATCTAGTGTGTTTATAATACTGATCTTACTAGATTTTACTAGATTTAATTGTTTATTTGCTTTCCTTAATTTGTTTCGCTATTCAGTTTCTTTAGAGCCTCCATCTTGGTGTTAATATTAAAGAAGCAAGTTATTTGAGAGTACTTGAGAGTCTGAAAATTTTGTCAGTGTGTCGAGTGCTTGTTCTCTGTAAATCCTTAAGCTACCTTTAAGTCGGTTCTTTAAAATCATTAGACACAGAAAAGATCAGCAGTGCATTTTTGATCATTCATCCTGGGTATTTCCAATAACTGAAACCCATATTCACATATAAATCAGCAGCTAGACATTTCCTTCTCAAAATGGAGCACAAGCTAACAGTTGTCTTCACATCTGCTGAGAGCTCAAGGTCTTAGATTTCCTTTCCAATGTTATAATTTGCCAGTGCTTTTCTGCAGCTTCTCTTTACTGGGCTCTGGATGAGCTTATTATATATTCTACTAGTATTGCAAGTCAAATATGCAACAGTCTTTTCTTTACTTTTTGATTTCCAAGCCCTCAGGAGAGAAGCAATCTGGGTGGTATCTTCTCAAAAAAAAAAGAAAAAAATGAATGATTTCCTAAAAAGAAATAAGTATCTGCCCAAATAAACCTACAAGCGGTACCAATTCTAATAAAAGAAAGTAATTAAGTAAGTAAGAAAAGCAGAAAGAAAGAAAGAAAAGATTTCAAAGGCACCTCGTTCCATTTGTGTCTTTTGAAGTCTTAAATATAAATAAGCAAACTAGTACTAAAAAAATGAAAACTTAAAGAGTTACATAAATATTCTCTACTGCACTCTGAAATCATGCTTGGCGCAGGCAAGAGAAGATAATTCTTAGGCATAAATGTGGAATAAGTTAAACAAACAAGTGAGCTTAGAACAATTATTCCCAAACTGCAGTTTACAGGCAACATGTTGGTACTGGGTCTGCCGAGGAGAACGTGACAGTCATAAACCTTCCTTTCTAGCTCAGTATAGTGCAGTTGCCCACAAACCTCTCACCTAAGGATTGGGCAAGATGTGGTACAAAAGTATAGTAAACAGTTCCTGTCCAAGGAAGTGTACAGTCCAAAAGAAAGAACATGCAGTCATTCATAACAGAGTTCATGATGCAACAGTGCCAAACCCAAACAATAAGAAATCACAAATTGACAGGTTGGCTTAAAATCATAGAGGGGGATAAGAAATGAAAAGCATAGTGGTTTTTCTTTTGCCTTTTTCCACTCCCTGAATGCCAGTAGCAGTTGCTTTTCCAATCTTTCTTCTTTATAAGGAGGATATGTGATTCTTTTCAGTTCCATATTGATCCAACAATTGGTGTCTTACAGGAAGTACCTACAAGTGGGAGAATGGTGATAAATGTGAGATTCCCCAGTGAGAGTGCTGGAATGTGTTCTCTAATACGTACTGTGAAGGAAACAGTCCATCTAGTAATACATGAATTTTGTATCCGTGCGAGCAGTCAACACAAGACTTTACAAAACTAAGTCCTTTTCCTGCCCTAGGCAACTGATCTGTTTAATACAGCTTGTTCAGACTCTCTTCATACAGTTAAAAGTCAAGAGAGTGAAACTTTTGAATGTGAATTTGGAAGAATGGTTGTGCAGTCCACATAAAAGTCAGACAAAATATTGCAGAGAGTGCTGAATGCAAAAGTTGGATGTGTGTATTTTCAGCTGGCTCTCATGACCTTGCCAAAGAGGTTCGTGTAAGCTCATTCTTAGTA